CCTCTGTCATCATTTTAAGTGGGGGAACTTGCACAATCGGTGGCTGACTAAATACTTTTTTGCCCCACTGTATATATATATATATGTGTGTGTTTTAATAAAATCATTGTTTTGACGCACCTTACTGGGACTTGGAAGTCGTTTGTCTTCACCTCAAATTAAGAATCAGGACAACATGAACAGTTGGGCTGAGGTCAAATTTAAGGTGTCTTTGATATTGATATGGATCTTTTTTGGAACTTTGATTTGAAAATGTTTTGGTCTGTCTGAAGAACAAATAATAAAGTAATACACACAATAAATGTGTTCATTGCATTAAAAAAATTGCAATGATTGATTAAATAGATTGTTAGTAGTGCCAATATTGTACCTCAAAATTTATATAACCATACGTGTGAACAGTTAGTGTAAACTGAACACCATGTTACTTACAGTTAACAATCAGAACATATTTAACTCCATCACTGCTGACAGGGTTGCTGACATTACAAAAATATTCTCCTTCATCTTTCTTCTTCACAGTGTTAAAGGTCAACACTCTGTTATTGTCAGAAAGGATCATGTTGTCAGTCAGGGTCAGTTTGAAGCCATCCTTCATCCAGTTTCTGGTAAAGACTGAGCCAGAAGCCTCACAGGATAAGCTGACAGAAGTCCCCACAGCTGGCAGGTTTGTTGACGAGTTAAGCAAAATTGAAGGACCTGATATTTTCTCTGTTTGCCAAGAGATAAATTGTTAAGAAAGAAAATGCACATACAATTCTTTACATACAGGTTAGAAACTAAAAGAGAGATTTATCTGCTTGCTGGTGATGCATACCTGTATGATCCTCATGTAACACTAAGTATTGCTAAATGCTATCATTTTTAATATTATGAACATCCTGATGATATGGTTCTTTAGCTTAACTATGTTGTAGCAATGATGACTCCCAAAGCTCTGAAAGTTAGCTAGAGTTCCTATTAATTCATTATTAATCCCCAATGTGCAATTATCCCATGGTGATTGAATATATATTTAAAACAAGTCCATAACAATTTATTCATGCTTTACTTAATTGTAAATACAAAATACCCTAAGAAAATGCTATTCTTTCACCCTGAAACCATAAATGAATCAAATAATGTTTACTACCTGTTAGCATGTCAAAAATGAACTGAAGACTTTTTTGCTGGCTTATACAAACTGTGATAATGTTAGGCTAATCGCATAAAGCTCACAATATGTAATGAAATCATAACAACGTTGTTATCATAACAGCCACATGTTAAAGAAAGAAGAATTTGTTTAACATGTGGCTGAGAATCCAGAGAGCAAAGAATGCATGAATCACACACTTTAACAATAAATCAAACCTACCCAGCACAGTGATGGCTGAAGGCTCAGATGTTTGAGATCTCAGAGTTTTGCTGTTAAAGGCCTGACAGCTGTAGTTTCCACTGTGACTCATCTGAACATCCATCAGTCTGAGCTCTGATCCAGTATAAGGCAGCTGATCTCCATTCAGAAACCAGTTAAACTGGGCAGGGGGTCTGGATCCAACCGAGCAGGTGAGGCTGATGTCTGACCCTACAGGAAAGTATCCTTTTGATGGAGGTAAGATCAAATGTATATTTTCTGGACCATCTAAATATAGAGGGAACATAGAAAAGTTACGTTGGGTGGATGGAAAATGTAAAAGTATATTACATTCACTTTTTCTTGTGAAATCGTAAAAGTATTTCACACAACTACATTGCTTCACATCATGTCAACAGAAAAAATATCTCATCTATCTTCTATTCAGCTTATCGGACATATCTAATATTCTGAAATCTAAAATGATATCTAAACACTCTGATGCTTGTTTTCAGATAAATTACTGAACATTTACTTTAGTAACTCACAGCTGATGGTGAGGTTTACTGGATCACTGGTACCAGTACTGACAGGATTGGACACACGACACCTGAATGGTCCCTGGTCAAAGCGGGTCACATTGATTATAGTCAGACTGGAGCCTCCATCAGTGAGCTGAACTCTGTCACTTGCTGTAACCTCAGAGCTGCCGTTCAACCAGAGGAAAGAGAGAGAGGATCCAGAGGCAGAGCAGGACAGAGAGACAGAACCACTGAACTCAACCAAGTCTGTGCTGCTGGAATTTACCAACACATTGGAGACTTTCTCTGTGAAAGAAAAATACAACAATAGAAAATAAGCATTAAAATAATTACAAATCAATTCCAGCTAAACTATGTCATGTTAAGGAGGATATATTACATACCCAACCTAAAATGACAGAATAGCAATAATTGTAAGAAATACTGTACCAATCAAAACCTTGGAATATTTTTATTTGTATAAAAAAATAAATCAACTCCCTTTAAGTGAATATTCTGAACAGAATAAACGAGACAATTGAGTTCTCAGCTTGTTCTTTGCTTTATGGGAATTAATATTACCTTCAAACAAACCATTCAGTTTGTTACAGCCACTTTTTAAAAGTCTTTATTATCACAGTCTTAAGAATAAGACTAATTATTGCAAGAATGCATTACTGCAGTGAGTAGAAATGTAACATAAACGTACTAATCATTACAGGTATTTTTACATGTTCAATATAATGTAAACTTGCTTAAATATTGCAAAAACAGTTAAGCTGTTGAATTTCTACATCTGCTCACCATATATCAACAGAGTAGTACGGCCATTCTGGATTTTTCCATCTTGTACAATGGTAACAGTGTATTCTCCATTGTCATCCAGAGTGAGACTCCTGAGCTCCAAAGACGCAGTAGATGGGAAGAAGGTGATCCTGCCTTCATACTCAGGTTCAATAGTTTCTTCTGAGTTAATCATGTATACTATATCTGTAGTGAAATTAACATTCCAGTTCACAGATTGAAGCGGTTTCTCTGTTTGAGACAGTGTTGTAGTGAACATCGCCGTTTCTCCTACAGTTGCATTCAGATGATCATCAGGCAACACACCAGCTCCTTCAGTGAAACCTGCAGGAGAGAATAGCAAAGTGCTGTTGTTACTCAAACATATAAAACACTTGTGGAATATATAAAGATTAAGAGTTATTTTCATTAAAGTCTAATGTCAGCTTTTCCAGATAATACTGCACATAATTCTGGTTGAGTTTCAGGAACTCGCTCAATAATCGCGTGGTTATTAAAACAGTTAACCAGCTGTTGTTTTTGGTGACTTGCTATTCTAAGCCTTTGGCGAACAACCGAAGGAAAAGCTGACTTTTTGTAAAGAGACCACAAGTTATACGGAACATCTTAATTTGGAGACTTACTTGCAAATGACACAAAAACAACAAGAGGCTGTAGTAACAAAGCCATTAATTAAATATCCGTGAAGTGTGCAGTTAGGAATGTTTTACTATCAAACTGATCAAAAATCTACTGGCTCAGTATGGTGAATGAAACTCTACTTAACAAGATGCAGTGTCAGTTTCATGCACTAGAAAACTTGCAGGATGTCTTCCTCAAGTGGTGCAACTGTGTTAGTGCAAGATGTAAAACTTAAAATGTTGCTATAAAGACATCCAAATGTCCAGTCACATATATAAAAAATCTCAAAAAGTTTAATTAATCTGTAGAAAATAAAGCAAGTCTGAAAAGGTCACGCTATTTTCATCAGAGATTTATTGAAAAAGAAAAAAGAAAAAGAAGCACACACAGCAGGTTAATTCAAGAAACAAAACTGACACTGACAGATTCAGGTACAACATAATCTAGAAACAGGGAGCCAACAGAAGCAACCTGATCAAAGGCTTCCCACATTTCTCCTGTCTCCTCTGTCCTCCATCTGAAATCAGTCTTGAAAAAGGTGTCCCAAGTCCTGCATCCGGAGGAGAAAGGAGACAAGAACTATAGGATTTAATTTGAATGGCTTTAAACTGAGATTCAGAAGGAAGCACTCAACTTTCTTTTAAATGTCTTTTGTTTCCACTCTTCTCTCTCTATATTCATGAAGAACAAATCAGAGAAGTAAAAAGAGTTAAAGTCGCATGATGAACAATTAACGATCAATGAAGAATGACACAAAGGACGAGGAAAACTAAGCATTACTAGAGAAGCCCTGAGAGAATTATAAGGATCACGGCACTGCTCTCCTACTCTCATTTAAAATACTTTTGTACAAACCTGCTTCTTCTCTGATCCATGTTATCTGAGCAGGAAAATTTTATTTCTGTTTATAATATTAAGGTCACATTGTGGTTAAAGATGAACTAGAAGTATTCAACAGATGTCTCATAAAGTGAAAAACAAACAAACAATAAACAAAGTAAAACTTTAAAGTCAGTGTGAGCAGACAGTTTTTTTCTGCCACATCAAGCAGTGAGAGCTCACCTGAGATGGACCCAAAAATGAAGAAGTATATCACAAGTACATCAGAAAATGTTTCCATTTTTAAAGCAGTCCTTCAGTCTTTGCCTTTTCCTTTGGTGATACCGGTACATGAATGTTCATTCAATATATGGTGTCATAAGGAAGTAATGTTGTTATTCTGAAAGGTTAAACTTCATGAACTTGTTAATCATTAACAAACCTTTCTACTAAATGTTTGTGTCAGATTCTGTTTAGTCACATTAAGCTTTCCTTCTGTACTGTAACAGCTAGTTACAGGATGTGTCACTTGGAAGAATTCAACATGATTTATTGTCAGAGAGAAATTAATTGATCTATTTTGGCAATTAGGCTCCAATGACCCATCACAGCAGTGATAGAATTCAAGACAGGAACAATTGGTATTTGGTTATGCCAAAAAGGGATTTCTGGTATATGGCCAACCAAGATTTAGGATAGGGTGGCAATATCCTGACTCATTTTTGGGGTTTTAAGGAATTGTTTTCACTGTGTGCAGTGTGAGCAATTTGCATGTGGTTGGTTTGTAGTGCATGTTGTCTTCTGGGAACTTTACTGTAGGTCACATCCTCTCAATCTTTGTTTGAAATCTCCATTTTGAGTGTAAGTTGTGAAATAAAGTTTCTGATCTTGCCTTCTGTGATGGTGTCTTGTTTTTGGTTTTCTGACATATCACAACTTGGATTATTACAGTATTAAGCCTCTTACCCTGGGACAGGTGGGATAGGAACAAGCTCTGTGACTGTGTTGGATAGTCGTTATGATCCAAGTCATAATTTTGTGTATTGCGGGGGTGGTGTTATTAATTTTCTCCACTGTTTTTTTGCTTATATAAGTTCCAGGTGAAAGCTGACTATTGGTTTGGGAGACTGAATGGAGCTGGCTATTAATTGGGGCCCATCCAAATCAGCTGTGCCCTGCCTATATGTACTTCCAGCTTCCAACAAGGCTTTGTGTGTTTAGCTGTGTTTTGTTGTGTGACCGATTTTCTGCACTAAAAAAACAAAAAACAAGATTAATTAATTTGTACATATTGTAAATATTGCAAATGATCATTTTGAAGAGAACAGACCTGGTTTCCCTTTTAGTCTAGGGAGGCATTTAAAAGGCCTGTATTGTGTATGTTGTTTTGGTTATGCCTACCCTGAAACTCTCTACCTTAAAATGAAAATAAATGATTCTGTTTTTTGAAATAGAAATTTATTCTTCCTCTAATGTTGACCTCAGGGCATGCTAGACACTATTTTGCCTTGCTTCATCGTCTTACTCAGAATTTTAAATACTCACAAAAACCTATCAAGATTTTGGCTCAGAGTTTGACTTTTAGTTTTGAAAGCAACAGAAATGAATTGTTTCAACATTGGTTGCATTCTGTTGATAGTTTTAGGCCATTTTGGTTGGTTATAAAACATTCTCGGTATCTTTCTGAGTATTAAATAAACAAATAACTAGGGCTGTGGCATGCAGTGAGGAATATATTACTGCATAGTGATTTGTTTTCTATTGATCAATTAAACTGTGTGGGTTAATCGGAAAAACATCCTGTGACTGGACATCAACATCTTCATAGCAACATTTCAAGTTTTACATCTTGCACTAACACACCACATGAGGGAGGCATCCTGCAAGTTTTCTGGTGCATTAAATTACAAAAAAAAAAAAAAAATCTAGGACTCTCTTTGCGCATGAAACTGGCACTGCATCTTGTAGAGTTTCATTCACCATACTGAGCCAGTAGATTTTTGGTCAGTTTGATAGTTAAACATTCCTAACTGCACACTTCACGGATATTGAATTAATGGCTTTGTTACTACAGCTTCTTGTTGTTTCTGTGGCATTTGCAAGTAAGTCTCAAAATTAAGATGTTCAGTATAACTTGTGGTCTCTTTACAAAAAGTCAGATTTTCCTTCGGTTGTTCAAGGGCTTAGAATAGCAACAAGTCACAAAAAGCAACAGCTGGTTAACAGTTTTAATAACCACGCGATTATTGAGCGAGTTCCTGAAACTCGACCAGAATTATGTGCAGTATTATCTGGAAAAGCTGACATTAGACTTTAATGAAAATAACTCTTAATCTTTATATATTCCACAAGTGTTTTATATGTTTGAGTAACAACAGCACTTTGCTATTCTTCTCCCGCAGGTTTCACTGAAGGAGCTGGTGTGTTGCCTGATGATCATCTGAATGCAGCTGTAGGAGAAACGGC